GGTTTGATGGAGGACACAACTTCGAATTCCCACTGATTAGTGAGCTCCCAGGAGATTACTATATTAGGCAACCATTATTATTGAATATATGGTCCAGATACCGATCGATAAACATACTTGGTGGGGAAATAGAGCTGCAACTTTCCTACTGGTGGCCGGACGCTTCATCGTTCCAGCAACTTGGAGCTTTTCTTGCGATCCACACTTGATTATCCCTAATACATTTTCTCAGTGTAATCACAATGAACCTGCTGCATCGAGTAGGCGTCCCATATCAGCTGTTTTCATATTCATTCCTTTGTGGTGTGTGGCGATGAGTACACCCGATGAGTTGTCCGAAGTGAGTGTTGCGTAACAGACACTTGTTCGGATGTCAAAGGTCAGATTACAAGATCAACACCTGAACAATGCACAACCATCTCAAGCAGTGCAATTTAGAAGCCAGTGACAACTGTTCATCAGCAGCAGTACTGAACTATTGATGAAGGTAGGTTAAGCGTCAGGGGATACTGCGTCTCTTCCCTTCGGAGAGATTACTGTTTTACTTTCTGTCTGGTGACTGACAATGCGTACACCAATATGAGAATGTATCTGATACAAGTTTCGCAACATGCGTGAAATATCGTGAATTATTATGAGTCAACAGTAGCCGTAATATCAAAACTGACGGTCCTTTTAACTGTGCTGCCATAACCGACCATTGGTAAGCAAATAAAAAACAGTTCCCATCTGAGTACTCTGTGTGATCTCTAGATGCCCGAGTTTTGCCTCCATCATCATCAGCATCATCAGAGACGGCAACATCATTGTTGACACTGATACTTCACTGCTGTACAACCATCAAGCTCATCTGATTACATATATACATATATATATATATATATAATTATATTAAAAGCCCTAGGGTGAAAAGAGAGGAAAAAGAGTGAGCGAGGGAGGGCACCTAGTGCTGGCCTATGTCAAGCATTCTGAGGTGCCTGCACCTCCAATCAGACTACTGGAAATAAGTAGCACATGACCGAGCCATCGTAGTTGATTATGCTGGATGTGTTCTCGGATTGAAGTACCTGCAGCACAACCAAATACCCGTCTTCTAATCACCTCGTTACTAACACGCTGACGCCATCCGAAACCACCTTACGCAGTACGTGGCTAAGCCACCGCAACCTATGCTGTGTTATAAGTTCATCCGTTGAAGATGAGTTATTTCTTCCGAATGCCATCCGACGTACTTCAGCATCACTTATCCGGCGTTCCCACTAGACTCGGACAATGCTCCGAAGACATAGATGGTCAAACACCAAAAGTCCTTTGACGACTTCGACGCGCAGCGACCAGCTTTCTGATCCGTTTAGTAACATGGAGCCCACGGCAGTGAAGCATCAGTGCCAACACTGATGTTGCTGTCACTGATGATGACGATGATGATGGAGCCCACTCTAGCTAATGTCTTAACCCTCAAGGGTCGAATTTACAATGCTGAACTGTTCTCCATTACAAGTACGGCAGTGAAGCATCAGTGCAAACACTGATTTTGCTGTCTTTGATGATGATGGTTATGCAGGTTCACAAAGGATGCTCTGGCCTTCCCAATCCGGATAGATTTCAACAGTTGGAATACCACGGAAACTGATACAGCTTCCCAGTTAAAAAAAATTCGTCTACTACCTCAATCGGCTCATCTGCAAGCATGAGGCTAGGGTTCGAGCCCAACCAGTCTTACATAGCACCTCACACATTGCAGGTGTGAACCTCATGCCCAACCGTGAGACGGAATTATTTAGACTATTTAATATTGTTTGCATTACCATAACCTCAGACCCAAGGACAGTTATGTCGTCCGCGAGATTCCCCAGTGGTTAGAGCGCGAATCTACTGACTGGAGGGTACGTGATTCGAACCCGGCCTCTGCCTCCCGACATTTCCTGTTTAAGCTTGGCAACCCGGTCGTATCCCAGGCCTCGTGTGGCATGGCAGTCAGGCGACGAAAGGGTGCTAGAGCTTAACGATTTTTAATATATTTTTATGCCATCCGTGTACTCGATATCTGTGAGCGGGCGCTTCGGGAGGACAGGCATTAAAGGCTGGTAGTGAGTCCGCCATGATAGTATCAATGGCGAAGTTGAATAGGAAAGGTGAAAGAGCAATGTCCTGTCTGACTCCACTTGAAGTAGTGAACTCAGAAGAGAGCTACCCGCAGGCCTTCACACGGCCACGAGAGTTGGCATGCGCCTTGAGGAGAGTCGAGAATCTATGGGGAACACATTTGCTCCACAGTACCTGACAGTCCACAGAGTCAAAAACAGCCTTCAAGTCGAAGAACACAACCAATGTTGGCTGTCGGAAACAGTGTCACCGTTGCAGAACCTGTCGGATGGTGAAGATGTGATCGATGCATCCTCTTGCAGAACAGAACCCAGCTTGGTTTTCACGGATCTGTCTCGCCCCGCATCCACTCAACCTTCGAAGGATAAAGCCAGAGTGTACTTTCGATGCCACAGCTAACAGGCTGATGCCACGGTGGTTGTCACACAGCATTCGCCTACCCTTTTTGAAGATAGGGATAATTGTTGACATACCCCACTCTGCAAGCATCTTGTCTTCACTCCATATACAGATGGATCACCAGGGATTCTACGCGTTCTTTGGAGAGGGTTGAATGGACTTCCGGTGCTGCCGCCTTCTCAAATTTTAGTACGGGCATTTCTTACCTTATTTCTTCTTCTGTTAGGCAATTAAGATTTAGATCCCATTCTGTTTCACGACTTTAGACTAGCTGAAATAATCAGATACCGTTTTGTTTCAAGAAACTAATCGCAGCCCGACTAATCGAAGTGATATAATTTATCGGGGACCGTGGCCTGGTTTGTCGTTCTATGTTAGGATGCGTTCAAATCACCAATTCCCTAATAAACACTCGAAGCTTTGAGGGTATTAGTTGTATACCTGGCAACTAGAATCGACTGTTCAGTCCACCAGTCACATTACAATAGCAAAGAATCGAGTGTAAAGACCTTTATGTGGAATAGCAGAAGCATTTAAACGAGGAAGATGTCGGCGGAACTAAAACTCTATTCAAGGCTTGAGTGTTTGAAAGGTCCAAGGCAGTCGGACAAAGCGTATTCGAGGTTTGAAGTAAATGTTATATTGGAAGGGATATCTCACTTTACATAAGAATTAACGATCCAACGAGTCTGACTCGTAAATATGTATGATGGTTGATCATCCCCATGTTCACTCAGAACCCATGAAGCTTAATTCCTTCCGGGGTTGCCAATTTCCAAGTGCAGAGGAACTTTTTCATGTGTTCACGCTGATCACCTTGAAGCTGGATGACTTCGCCATATTCCTCGTGATCAACAACAGTCCCATTGCATGCAAACTCCTTCTTGCATTGTTTAAGGATTTTCCGTTTATCGTATTTCTCATGTAATCCTTGAACAGTAGTAATTGTTTTTCGACCGTTGCGCTGCTGAATGCGGATGTGGACGAATTTCCCCTCTGAAGTGGACTCACCTTCTTCAGCGAACGGATCTGTAGAAGAAAGTAAAAGAAAAGAAACAAACAGCGCACCGTAAGTCTGTAGGTTCTGCAAGGACATAACCGATAGCGCAAAAAATGCGTTGACCTTGAGCGCAGCGTCCTACAACTCAAAACCAACCCAAGTGCTGTAACGGATGCGTTGTGTCGAGCGCGTCTGGGCTCATCTCAGCCAGTCTCATGACGGCCGGGAGTGATGAGTTTAGCTGGATGTCAGTCGGATACTTGTGGTCTGAAACGTCCTAGCAGTATTTCTAGGTGATGTCAGGATCATATAAAAGCCGCAGAAGAGCTACAAATATTCATTCACGGATCCACGGATTGATGCACAGGATCGAGGCTTTTGCCCAAGTTCCCCGGGTCGCTTTTGTTCTTGTCGGTCAGTGACTGTCGTTCACCTGAAGAACACAAGTGAAAAAAGGGTATAGCACTGCTCTTTATGTTATCAGCGCGGGGCGGTATGCTCTCCAGCGCGGGGATTCGCATAAATAAGCGTCTAATAGTGCTTTAAACTGTGTTCTAGAAGGAGCGTGAACAACCTTCGGAGGAAGGTCATTCCACGCACCTACTACCCGAAATGAGAAAAAATTTTGTCTAATGAATGTGTGTGCTGTGAGCTTGAAGATCTTCGTACTATGTCCCCGCTGTGTGTTTGCTGGGTCAACGGTAAAAAACCTGTTTGCCAAGCTTTGTTCAAACAGGGCATAAGTAAAAATTAGGTCCCCTCGGAGGCGACTGGACGTCAGCGACAAATGGGATTCGAAGCCTAGCTGTGAAACAAAAATGTATACTGTGCTGGAGTACTCCGAAATGATACTTGTACAAACCAGGTAATACAAGGACCGCAAGTCTCAGCATATTTTGACTTGCCTTACCTCCTCATTACCATGAGTCCGTGAAATTTTTAGGATCGAAGCAAGCAAAACGACGACAGCATTATATCATCGCACGGTATTCAAGAAGGCACACAACTTGTTCTCTATGCTGAACAAGTAGTTTGAAACTTGTAATTAGATGATGGAATAAGATGATGTGAATAAGTGGAGAAATTTTGTGACATATTTCACCAAACAACCCCCTCCGAAACATTGCTTCCGAATATGATCCAACGAAGCATCCTGAAGGAAAGATAACCCGGCAGTGCCAAACGCTTTGATTTGCCATTGCGATGGTCTCACGACAAACCTCCTCCGGAATCAAACGAAGAGACTTTATAGCAAGTGGAAAAACGGGTAATGGCTTTTGCACTCCAGCTATGAGCCTTTTATCGAAATACCGTCGTAAAAATAGATGGGCTACATTCTGAGGCGGGTCTAATCGCGGATAACTCCGAAAAAACCGTGTGTAAAAAACATTCAGCCTAAGAAAACAAAACAGCGAAGAATTCACAACGGACGCAGTAATTTTTCGACTTCTCAAAAGCCTACGATTCGGCTGCCTGTCATCCGAAAACCTGAAGTCATACAGTATCCAAAAAGATGATCTGCTTTACAAAACCCTTCAAGCCAAGCTATAAATTCCAAACGAATTATGGAACAACCCACGCTGCCTTGCAACGATTGACAAGGCTCCAGCTTAGGGCTATTCACTGTTTTCCGTCATGTCGGAGACCTTTTAGATGCGCCTTCAGCTCCATGTTGAAGTTTCGCCGATGAGCCGGAGCTATCCAGCAAGGATATTAGGTCACTGTAAATAGATTCCGACGCTGTAAACCAGCGGTCACGGGGCTGGTACCTTCCTTCGCAGATGAAAGTTGTTATCGGGCGAGAATCCGTGCGTGCATGTTGAAAATGAAGCGGATGACATTCCGAGACCAGACTCAAGGCATGTATTTGCTGGTACATCATAAAGATTTGGCTCAAAAAGCGTTGATTGCCTTTCGGATGTTTCTGTACATCCTTCGCTACTTAAATGTATAGGTTTCAGGTATTTATCGGGTATATGTCACGCAAAATCTTTGATAACGAACCAAGGTATTCGCGCAAGACCCAAGCGGGACCTCATTATCTTCGAGCGGTTCCTTTGGGTTGCCACGAAGTTAGTCCCTGGCCTTTAATTCATTGATCATATGCAGGGAATTGCATGAACACATTCCATGGAATATTTTAGTGTCTCTGGAGAAATATTGCTTGCACGAACGACGTATGATGAATAAGTTTCCTACCTTTGACATCGCCAACGCTCGGCGGAGAAATCGCAAAGAGGTCTAGATATAGATCCAGGTCTTAGGTCGTGCATGTTTATTAGAAGACAAAGTATTTTACTTCGAATATTTGGTGCATGCAATACCCTCCTCCGACGGATGCTCATATTGTGTCACGTTGTGAACATACTTAGAATATAGCACCTGTAGTATGGAAACCGCGGTGGCACCAGCTTACTCCCCAGGTTCGAGGGAACTTCAATGACCATGACGAACGTATCTCAGATTAGCCCTTCCTAATCAACCGATAAATGAATGGCCGAGCGGTGGCGAATTCATGAAACGGAACAAGCAGAACTCAGGTAGTTATCGGGCGCCGTGTTGCTTCAGGGAAGCGACATCAGGAGTAAAGCCGCGAGAACGGGAAGAATGTGCCGCAATCCGCACCGTATCACCGCGGTGGCACCAGCTTACTCCCCAGGTTCGAGGGAACTTCAATGACCATGACGAACGTATCTCAGATTAGCCCTTCCTAATCAACCGATAAATGAATGGCCGAGCGGTGGCGAATTCATGAAACGGAACAAGCAGAACTCAGGTAGTTATCGGGCGCCGTGTTGCTTCAGGGAAGCGACATCAGGAGTAAAGCCGCGAGAACGGGAAGAATGTGCCGCAATCCTGCACCGTATCAAAACCTGTGTCATGATTGGTCCAAACATGGGCAACTCAAAGCGGGGACTTTTAGCTCCACGCTTTATTGTTCTGAACTGACCTGGATTGGAGGACTAGTAGTAAATCTGTCAACACAGGTGCATCAGATGCATCCCCTCTCTAACCCTGTCTTTCTTCGCCCCATTACATTAGGTTTGATTAAAAGTATTCCGTAGAATATCACTATTACTACAACTTTTCGATTATTCATTTTTTTCTGTGAGGAGCTTACGAAATGTTCCGTAGGATTTTAATAACATAATTAAACATAATTTGGTTTATATGCAATGCAAAAGGGTTTTTAGTGTTTGCTCCAGTCGCATTCAGTCTTTGCCTAAGATGTAACGTTTTTTAAGTACATTCCCTGGCGACCTACACGGTCTCAACATGCAGCTGATGAGTGTTGTTGACACAAATCACTGATAACTAAGGCGCCATTCAGCGACTGTGTATAATTATACAGCAGAAAACGAGGTATTTATCATGCAGGTTTAATTTGTATGGGACGAAAAACGAGGAATATTTTACGAGTATGTGTTTGTACGGTAGTGACGTATCCTTCTGAAAATTGGTGTAGCCGACGATCGTTCGGCATCTACAGGAATAAAGCCACATTACCGTGCCGCGCAAGGTGATGAACCGCATTCTGAAGCGAGTTATCCTAGGTCACCTTACTTCCAACAACTTGATACCTTTCCAGCTCAACACGGATTTCTCCCAAACCGTTCTTGCGTGACGAATATGTTATAATAATAATAATAATGCTTATTCCCAACTTATGGGTGGCATGCCGTCTGGCATGATCATGCGTTTACAGTCAGAATGGGGCATTGCTGAGGGATTTGCGGGTAGTGTTGA